AGGACACTAGGCACCTTTGATTGATTAAATGAACTGCGGCACGGAATTATTTATTGATGTGCTAGACAATTGAAAAAATCATTTTGGAAGTACTTGTCCATAGTTTACATCTCCAGGCATGGAAAATTGGCGTGTAGACTTTCTTAATCATCAGCATGTGGGTCCAGGGCAATAGTCTCTTCACCCAGGTGTTTTCAATACCTTTTCACAAGTGGGGAATATCAGATGTGGATCTTTTAGCATCCAGGTTCAACAAGAAGCTGGACAGGTTTGCTGCCAGGAGCTGAGGTAGATGCCCCGATAACTCCTGGGATCGGTTCAGCTTGACCTTGGCCTGCTAAAGCACCTTCCAGACTTGTCTACTTTGATAAAAGGAGGATCACTAGAACATCCTCTTCTTGATCCTGCAAAGCCCAGGAAACCATGGTACTTGGACCACATCAATTTCCTTGCAAACTCTCCTTGGCCTTCTGTCATAGGGGTCAGTGTACTATTCTGCTTCTCTGTCACTGGATTTAATGGATTGGCTATTGCAGCCAAAGTCCTACAGGACTGTAGTCTATCAAACTTAGTCATCCCTATGTTTCTAAAAGCTAGGAAATTGAATTCTTGTACCATAAAAAGTCACATTTCAGGCCTTGCCATTCTTTTCTGGAGACTGCTTGCACCTCACTCATTGGGAAAGCCTTTGTGCAGGGTTCTTATTGATCACCCATGAAGGGCATGTTTAATAATCCATATGACTATGAGTCATTTTGTACTCCCACTGACCAGTAGGGCATCAGAGGTAGCTTCCTGTAAGTGACCACCAAACACTATAATGGTCAGAGACTGAACATAGACCTGTTTGCATCCAAGACAAAGTTGCAGCTAGAGATATTCTATTCATAAGGAGAGAAAGGTGGCAAACATGTTATAGGTGCATTTTCTCAAACAAGGACATTCTAGTTAGGCAATGTGTTCCCTTCCCACTAGCCTTTGCTACCTAAAGTGATACAGAAGATCTGGACAGACTGAGTGAATTTTGATCACCCCTTTCTGGCCACAGAGAGCCTGGTTTGAATAACCCCCCTTTGGATCCTGCCAAATATTCCAGATCTAATTCACCAAGGTCTGGTACTACACCCTAAAGTGCAAGAGGTTTGGTCAACAGCTTTGTACCTAACAAACTGTTTAAAAAAAGTGCCTGACACTATATGGGCCCCTGAGAAAAGGGTCACAAATGTTATAAGAAAAAATATGGGAAAACTATGTAGAAAGCTATCCTCCATCCTAGATTTTCTACAGTAAGAAAACAAAATGCAGATGTGTGAAAGTAAAAAGTCAGAGTATAGACCCTTTGCACCTTCATTTTATACCAGCTGAAGATCTGTTAACAAAAAGGTTTTCAAATTCTATTGCCAGAAGCCAACCTCCTGTAGTAAAAAATACATTCCAAATAGGATCCTGAAGCACTTCAGTGTCCTCCTTTTGAGCCGATTTAACATTCATGCAGGAAGATTGCTCTAAAAACAGTTCTCTTGGAGGCCCTAGCCTCAGCCAGGAGAGTTGGCTTTGTCCATTACTGCTCCTTTCTTCTGTTTTTCCAGAAGTAATCATTCTTTGAGTAAAGCTGGGGTTCCATCCCATGGTAGCCACTCCCTTTCATAATTCACAATGTAGCCATTGTCCTCCTTCTATAAAAACCCAGCAAATGAAGAGCAATTTTTTACTGCCTAGACGTAAAAGCTATCCTGGCTTAACTGGAAATTTCTAAAGATGCTCTAGTCAGTTTGTGGCCACTCTGTAAGATCCCTAGCCTCCTCCTTGGCGGACAAAGCAGCCACTTGGATGAGCTTCAGCTCAAATCAAAAACACTACAGAGTGGATTTAATCTCCAGCCAAGACCAAGTATTTGGTAGAAAAGTCCTGCAAGCTGTGCCGCCCAAACCGAAAAGGTTTGATTTCACACCTTTTCCCTGCTGTCCTGGAAGATGATTAAGGAAAACTAAATTACCTGGCAACTTCCTTTCCCAGAATCTTCCAGGACAGCGGGGTTTACCCTAGAAGTATAATGTATTTGTATGTCTGCTATGGTAAGGCAGTTAGTCCTGGTTCACACATATTGGATGCGTTTTTTAACTACATCCGATTTACATGATGGGAACCAAAAGGCTTTTCTCTGGAGCCAGTTCACATATGTGCAGGCCGAATGCAGTGCGATTTTCAATGTCTTACACTTTTAAGAAATTTGCACACGAACTGCTGAATGAGGTCACACCAGATGGGGCTTGAAATCGTGCTGCAAACCAGCCGCACATATATGTGAACCCAGGCTTAGTGATGTGCCTTTGGTTCTTTCTATATTAATGATGCCAACGGCTATCTACTACTTTTATTTAAATGCAAGTCTTAGATTTCTTTTTTGTTTTGGTTGGGTGGTGCCACTGGTCCGGAAATGATGTTAACCCAGGTAACACACGGTCTGTCTTCTTCCTATAACAGGGTGACAGCACTGTTCAAGACTATCCTGTCCCTAGGGTTACATTGCTGCTGTGGGATTTCACTATAGACAGGACTGACTTGTAGTTTAAAATAGACTTTAATTAATGGACAAAGTCAAACTCCTTTTTAGGCTCCAATCACACTTGAGCAACTTTGGACATCAAAGTTGGATGACAAGTCACATCCCATTCTTTTCAATGGCACCCATTCAAATCGGTGTGACTTAAAGGTCATAGCAACTTTGAAAAGGTGCCTGCACTACTTTGGTGCGACTTAGAACTACAGTGGGGAAAATAATTATATGATCCCCTGCAAATTTTGTAGGTTTGCACACTTACAAATAAATGAAGGCTCTATCATTTTTATCATAGGTGTATTAAAATGATAGAGACAAAATATCAACCCAAAAAAAAACAAACAAAAAACCCATGATACAAATGTTATAAATCGAGTTTCAGTTCAGTGACTAAAATAAGTATTTGATCCCCTACCAACCAACAATAATTTTGGCTTCCACAGACTGGCTATGTGCTCATGTGGTACACAGATTAGTCCTGTCAATTTAAGAAGGCGCTCCTAACGGCAACTCATTGTGTATAAAAGACACCTGTCCACAGAATCTCTGGACACCACCATGGGCAAGACCAAAGAGCAGTCAAAGGATGTCAGGGATAAGACTGTTGACCTGCATAAGGCTGGAATTGGCTACAAGACCACCAGCAAGAAGCTTGGTGAGAAGGAGACAACTGAAGTCAGTTGGAACCACAGTCATCAACAAACCATTGGTAACACAATATGCCACCATGGATTGATATCCTGCAGCACACGCAAAGATCCCCTCAAGAAGGCACATGTACAGGCCCATCTGACGTTTGCCAACAAACATTTAAATCAGAGGATTGGGAGAAAGTGCTGGGGTCAGATGAGACCAAATTTGAGCTAATTGGCATTAACTTGACTCGCCGTGCTAGAAGGAAGAAAAATGCTGACTATGACCCTAAAAACACCATCCCTACAGTCAAGCACAGAGGTGGAAAAATTTGTGCTTTGGGGAAGATTCTTTGCTAAAGGTGCAGAACGACTTTGACACATTGAGGGGCCAAGTATTGTAAAATCTTGAATGAGAACCTTCTTCCCTCAGCCAGAACACTGAAGATGGGTGTTCTAGCCTGACAATGACCCAAAACATACTGCCAAGGCAACAAAGGAGTGGCTAAGGAAGCACATTAAGGTCATGGAATGGCCTAGCCAGTCTCCAGACCTTAATCCTATAGAACATATTTGGGAGGGAGCTGAAGCTTCGAGTTGCCAAGTGACAGCCAACTAACATTAAGGATTTAGAGAAGATCTGTAAAGAAGAGTGGCCCAAAATCCCTCCTGAGATGTGTGTAAACCTGGTAACCAACTACAAGAAATGTCTTACCTCTGTGCTTGCCAACAAGGGTTTCTCCACCAAGTACTAAAATCATGTTTTGCTTGGGAATCAAATATTTATTTGACTCACTGAACTGCAACTCAATTTATAACATTTGTATAGTGTTTTTTCTGGAATTTTGGTTGACATTCTGTCTCTATCATTTAAAATACACATATAAGACAAGACCCTTCATTTCTTTTTCCTTCATTTCCTTACAGACCCTTCATTTCTTTGTAAGTGGGCAAACTTACAAAATCTGCAGGGGATCAAATTATTTTCCCCACTGTATATTGGCTGTCACATTTCTCCTCTCTATTACGGTGATTCACGGACCCAGAGCAAGAATGCAGATAAGGAAAATCAGAACTGCATACTTATTCCAGGACAGTGACCTGATACAAAAGCCATTGTTACAGCAGACAAGTAGCATCTTCAGAAAAGATCAGCAGTTGCAGCCTCCATTGTTCTAGATCAGGTTTTTTTTTTTTTTCTATTGTGGTAGTATTTTAAGGAGTTGAATTTTCTTACTGACTTTCTATTTCTCCTGGGAAGTTCAGCTGGCCAACCCTCCATACTAGGATATACAGCTTTGTCCTCTTCAATGTTGCCAGTTCAGAGAAAGCCTCACTCTTTTTGCTGAACTCTCTAAAATAAAACATATTTATATTTATAAATGCAGAGTCCAACTACAAGATGAATAAATGGCTGCAGCAGGACAGAGCAAGCTGGGATCACATATGGGATCACATATGCGGACCTCTCCATTCCCAAAGTTACAGAAAACTGATCAGTTGTGAATGGACTTAGCAATGACAGGAGGGCTGCATATCATGCAATAATTTGTCCAGAATAGATGAAATATACAAACCAGTTGTATGGGCTGCAGGATGCCAACAGTACACTACTGAGAACAGGCTTGAGGCCCTTTTCTTTCCCCAATGTAACTTTAGTAGTCTGAGCTGGAGAGAACAGAACAGAGAGTGCACCAGCACACAGAAGTAGTCAATAGTGTTTTTATTTGTTAGTGGAAAGGACACTTGGTTCTGCCGTCTCAATAACCCATACATGCAGTTTCTACACTACAATTTCTAATAAATATTCAGTTGGAAGGGGGGGATGCTGGTTGATCTGCTCCAGACAAGTGCATGAAGAGGTCTCCAAGTTCGGCTACATCGTCATCAGTGGCAGGAATACTTCTGTGCTCTCGATCTTCAATGAAATCCCACAGTCTAACCGCATTAAAGAACTGCACAGAAATCAAGAACAAGTTTTAAAAAAAACAAAACAAAAAACAAAAAAAAACACAAAAAAACACAAAAAAAGCAAACACAAAACACAAAAAAACAAAAACACAAACAAAAAAACACAAACAAAAAAACACAAAAAAAAAAACACACAAAAAAACAAAAAAACAAAAAAAAAACACAAAAACACAAAAAAAAAACAAAAACACAAAAAAAAACCCCACACAGGTAGGACCCACTTCGTACTGAAGTGGTGTGTGATAACGCACATTACTATACTAAGGCAATAACTCCAATGCACAAACGTTGCAGTGCAACACAAACAGTATTGACAAAAAATGGTGCACTTCTGTTTTTTTTGGGACGTTGTGGTGTGTTGACAGCCCAATCATTTGGATGAACTGCCTTAATGCACCACAAAGGTGCGAATGGGCAGTTACAGAAGTACTCTAGTATACTAAAAAGCAGTCCTCAGGTTAAAAAATTGCTTGTTTTCCCAAGACATACCTGTAGGCAGTGCATGGCCTATCCCCAGCCTGTCCGCAAAACTATATATGGAGGCTGCGGTGGGGTCACCCACTCTAGGAGTTTTGAATACAGGCTAGAGAGGCCACGCACGGCCTACATGGATCTCTTGAAAATTAAGCATCATTTTTAAAACTTAGTGACTTCTTTTACACTATAACTAAAAGGCAAAACATTTTTTTTTTAGGTCACTAGATACGATACCCAAGCTTTACTGCTTCATCGGCTCGTCTTCAGCTGAAGACTGGTGCTCCTGGGTGAGATGTGCAATCCCTCAACACTTGAACACTGACAAATGTTAGCCAGAAACTCATACACCAAAGTTTAAAGCGGGCGGAGTACCACTCGACCTATCAAAAAATAAAAGTCAGCAGACTACAAAAGCTGTATCTGCTGACTTTTAAAAAAACAGACACCTGTCCCTTAGTCCCGCGGTGTGTCCCCCCGCAGCTCGTTTCACCGGCCGTCCTGTATCCCAGGAGGCCGGCATCTTCAGTGTGGGCACCCGACTGTGATAGCTTGCGGCGCCACAGTCGAGTACTCACTTCATGAATGGTCCTGTAGTCTTCTGGGACCTGTCACGTGTCCCAAAAGACTACAGGGAGGACACCTATTTCCGATTGCCTAGGCAATTGCACCAGAAGTGGAAGCGGGTACCTGTCAAATTTGGACCCCCCCCCCCCCTGCAAAGGTGCCAATCCTTAATGGGGAGTGGGGGGGAGCAGTCCTTAAAGCAGAACTTCCCTTTTGGGTGGAACTCCGCTTTAAGTCTTTGTTAGCTACATACAGAATACACATAGAATATGGTGTATTCTATTTGTAGCTAATAAAGAACTTTGGAGTACACTAGGTTGCCAGCTAGCGTGTGTCAGTGTTAAAACTTTTTTTCTAGGTTTGCGTAGCAGGCTGATGGTGTAGACCCCGTCAGTTTTCATTGCTGTCGGTTTCCCCGTTAGGGAGATTCACGCTCTCAATTTGTCCTGTGTACCATTATCATCACTGAAGGTGATAGTAAAAGAAAATCCCAAATTTTGGGTTGTCCACAGAAAAATCTTCCTGTGGGGGACACGAGCTCCGGTGACCTGGGGGGCCCCATGAAATTCCATTAATATGCAGGATTTCATCTCACTTTGTTTTGGCTACAAGACAGGAAGTGAAGGCAAATCTCCCCAATGGGACACAGATGACAAGAATAAACCTTACAGGGGTTATAACCCTCCCGCACGCGATCCAAAATGAAATAAAAAAAGGTCTGCCTATAGTTCGACTTTAAATATACTAAAGATGCTGGAATGCATAGTACATTTTTATGTAAAAGGTGAACACTTTATCTAAATACTTCCCTAGATTTGTAGTTCAGTCTGCCACAAATTGTACAACTATATAATTGATAAGTGGAAAAAATTTAACAGAAGAAGGTGGTGTTGAAAATGCTATACAGTTATTATTCAACTAAGAGAATAAGGAAGAAAAAACTCTAAAATAAAATGTATGTAAAAACACCACTTTAAAGCAGGGGTGTCCAACCCTTTGTCTTCCCTGGTGTCCCAACTGAAAGCAAATGGGACTGCTGGCACAGGGATACACGCAACATGCATGCAAAAAAACAGCCCAATGTGAGAATGAGGCCTAAATGTTGCTATTTAAAAAAAAAAAAAAAAAAAAAAAAAAAAAAAAAGCATTTTGATATACGCCATTTTGCATTTCTCATTTTGGGACTGAGTGTCAGTGTAGACCCTTGTCAATCTGTAGACCCTTACAGAAGAGGTAAAAGGAGGACTCTTACCCGTACTGTGCCTTCGGATCCAAGCTGTTTCCGGGGTTTCTCTGGGTCTGCTCTGGTTCCGTCTGGGAAAGCATGCAGGTAAAGACACTTTCCACCAAAAGGGCAGGTGCCACGTCCCTGATCAAAGTATTTACAAGCCTTCTTACTGAAACATAAAGAAAGGCAACTGGTCATCCACTGCAGGATATTTCCTAGTAAATGTTTACTTGGAAAAATGTAACATTTTACAGAAAGCCTTCACGATTATCTAGGCATATATTATAACGTAACAGTTACAGATAAAACGTTATCCACATTTTGTTCTATAAAAGCTGTGTGTCCACATCTTTTGCCAGTCAAGCACTATTCTGTGAATATTTTCCATTTCTGGGTACCCCTGTAATCCAGATATGAAGGGGAGGGTTTCCAGGCTAATCACTTGAAAAGAGATGACCATAGTCCTCTGTAGATAAAGCTGAAAGGCCCTTGTGTAATCTTACCTGAATCTTGATGATCTGTGTACTTCTTCCAGATCATGCAATAATCCACCATAAAAAGTCCTATACTTTCCTTTTGTCCAGGAGTTTTAGTAATTAAGATTGGTCACTGCTGCTCTCCCTGCTTGTGCAGGGTGACTGGTCTTGTATCTGCCTCCTGTAGTTCTCTGCAGGCAGTCTGTAGTGGGTGGGCCTGCCTTGTCCCCCTCACATCTCTGTTCTCTGCACAGGCTATGTACAGCACAGTGATGATGGGTATTAACTGGGTTTGCAAATTGGATTTACAGCTGTACTCAAAGGTTTGCATACTCTGGCAGAAATCATGACATTTTGGCATTGATATTGAAAATATGACTGATACCAAAAAAAAATTAAGCCATTTATTATCACAGTTGTTTGGCTCCATTTTAAAAAATAACAGAAAATCCCCCAAATGGCCATGATCAAAAGTTTACATATCCTGGAATGTTTGGCCTTGGTACAGACACACAAGGTGACACTGACACACACACGTTAAAATGGCATTTAAAGGATAATTTCCCACATCTGTAGCCTTTTAAATTGCAATTAGGGTGTGTATATAAATAGACAAGGAGTGTTTTTTTTTTTTAAGCTCATATATGGATGCACTGAGGCTAGATTTGAGCCATGGGGAACAGAAAAGAACTGTCAAAAGACCTGCGTAATGAGGCAATGAAAACAGATATAAAAAGCTATCCAAAGCCTTGACTATGCCAGTCAGTACAGTTTAATAATTTATTAAGAAGTGGAAAATTCAGGGATCTCTTGATACCAAGCCAAGCCCAGGTAGACCAAGATATTACAAAAGACTGCCCCTCTGTGATTGATGCTAAAGGGGACAATACACAGTATTATGAACTAAGGGTATGCAGACTTTTGAAACAGGGGGTCATTTAATTTGTTAACTTGTTGCCATATTTTGTTTTATTCTGCTATGACCTACAGTTAAATATGAATCCCACAAGAAATAAATGTGTTTTGCCTACTCATTCATGTTCTCTTTAAATAAAACAAAAAAACGGTACATACTGTATATTACCACTTCTCCAAGGGTATTATTATTTTTATTATTATGCAAACGTTTGAACACAGCTGTATGTAATTTGTGGTGCTGGGAAAGATGTATGAATGCAAGTATTGTGACTGGAGTTAAGTGTTCATGTAAAAGCCAACCATTTTTTAATAGTATCCATAAGGGCCCATTCACACTTTGCAGTCCTGGAGCATTTCATTAATGCATATCGCAATATGGCAACCCATTAAAATGGTAAAAAAAAACAAAAAAAACCCCAAAAAACACCACTTGTACATGCTGGAGGGCAATCATCTTGTGCCGGGCAATCAAAACGGTCCGAAGACCAGCACCCAGATCAACCTGAGGAGCAGAAGCCAGCACAGCCAAGGGACTGTGTGGGTCTTGGACCATTGGAACTCAAAAAGGAAAAAAGTATCTGTGCCCTTTAGGTTTCCTAAACTTGGAGGCACACACGTGAAGTAAAGCACCTGAAGCATCTACACAAAAAAATGGTCACTTATGTGAATCCTGTAAAAAAGTGAAAACTCAAGCACCAAGACATCTCATGAATAAAAGATTAATAGCTTTATTTCATCCATCGAATAAAAATGAATCAATACCTGTATATATTGACGCGTTTCAGCCTCCTACATAAGCCTTAATCATAAAGATGTTTATAATAGGATTATGCTGAAGGCATGTGACGGAGGCTGAACAGCATCAATATATACAGGTATTGATGCCTTTTAATTCAATGGATGAAATAAAGCGATTAATCTTTTATTCATGAGATATCTTGGTGCCGGAGTTTTTCACTTTCATATGGACTTATTAATGCTATAGCACTGTGTGAATCCAGGCACAAGTCTATCTCATCCTGCTGATTGCTATGGGAAGTTGGGGGTGCAGCACTAGTTCAATCGTTTTATGGACTATGTGACGTTTGTAACCCCTGCAAACACCAATATGAAAAAACAGCAATAGAATTCCTTAATAAGTTGGCTCTGCACCATCCTGAGCTACATGCAAAGTGTACTGCTACAATAAACATCTTCACGGACCATTAGTTAGGTGCAGGAGGATGGACCAAATATAACTGCAAGAATCAAAGTCTCTATTTTTCATATTTAAAGGCATTACGGCTCAACATCAAAACATTATGTGCAGGTACTTTCAAATGTCTGCAAGTCAGGAAACTTAATTGATAAACCCTAGTCCTCCAATACCCCTGATGACGTGTTACTCAACGTGGCCATTATAAAACTTGTACATCCAAGGACTCTATAGTTGGGGGGGCCCAGTTTACAAATCTTTGTTTTACACTGAAAGTCAAACTCACCCCATTCCTTGCTTAAATGCATCAATCAGTTCATTCTTCTTGCTCTGATCTTCCACCCAGTAAGCACTGGGAATTACAAACTCGGATATCACACGGCATTCTGGACACGCTCTAATCAGAAGAAAAGAAAAAACGACAAAAGCTGCTGTGACTGCTTTTACCTGAATGTGTAATTTTGTTCAGCTAGTTCTCAGATAACCTGACCAAACACAGTACTTTGTATTCAATGCAATGCAGTTTGGTCAAGGGTGTGATTTGATAATGAAGGAATGGCGGCTTACCAATAAGGACTCTTATGCTCTCATCCTAAACTAGCAAGCTCTATTTGTTGGGGCCCATTCACACTAGGAGCTGCATGTGAATCTCACAGAACACTGTGTGGTTCCTGTGCGATCAACATGCAGTTTTGTGCAGTGCGATTTCAACCCCATTCATTTTAAATGGGCTGAAACTGCACCGCACCAAAACTAGTGCACGCACTGCAACCAGATCACATGGTACTTTTGTACCATGTGATCCAGTGTGGGCAAACGCACTACATTTGGGGTGTTACCTTCGCACAGACACCCACAGCAGATTTCAAGAGCAGTGCAATAAGAATGCAGTATAGGAAGCCGCACAGGAACAAAGCTTTCCCATACTGCATGGTAGAGTGAATGACTCTACAATGCAGTCCCTTAGACTCATAGGGGTTTATTTACTAAAGCTGGAGAGTCCAAAATCAGACTCCCTTCTGCATAGAAACCAATCAGCTTCCAGGTTTCATTGCCAAAGCTTCATTGAACAAGCTGAGGTTAGAAGCTGATTGGTTTCTATGTAGAAGGGAGTCTGATTTTGGACTCTCCAGCTTTAGTAAATAAACCCCATAGTATTGTGCAATTCATTAAAGTCTAATTAGCTTTAATTATTTTTTTCCCCAGTCTGAATGTCAATGTGAAGAGGATAACAAGGAGATAGTTCCTCAGTATGTCTTTGTACTATCTACACAAAAATTGCAAGTGGAAAACACCCAAACTGTAAAACCCTCCTCCTCCTACCTACCCTGTATACTTACCAATTTTCAATCCGTTCCAGTTACGTGAACCTGCAGCTTGGATTAAGGAAGCACTCAAGAGCTGTGAATTTCAGGAGCCACAACATCATCCATAGGCTTCCAAGGCCTAGTTGTTGGCGCTCTCTCCCCACTCCCCTGCAGCAGCCATTTACAGACAAGGGAGCTGGAGCTGTGGGATCACATGACTGGAGCAGTTTACCAACAGACAGATACACTTTTTTTTTTTTTAGGCAGGATAGTTAGGAGGGTGATGGGGGAACCTTTTTAAGAATTATAGTTAGGCTTTTCTTCCACTTTTTAACGAATACATATTTTGATTAAAAAAAGGGGGTGTTTTTTTTAGATCTAAACGCTATAATTTAGGAAAAAAAAAAGGCAAAGGAAATAAAAACACATGCTATGTAAAGTAGGGTTTAAGTTTTAAATCCAAGCACTTACTTTATTACTGGATTCTCAAACTGTCTGGCACATCTCCACTGTCTGATACAGGAGAGGCAATACGTGTGGTTGCAGTTGGACAGGATACCAAATCTCCGCTCTGATGGTGAAGACTTTTCATATACAATTTCCATGCAGATACTACACACCTTGTCTTGGCTGGCCTGGAAGGCAAAGGCCTTTTCCATCTCCATTTCAAATGCCTCCATACACAGCTAGAACAAGAAACAAAAAATTATACACTTCAGCTCCAGCAATATTTGAGTGCTAGCTATGCAAAGGCAGATAGAAGCCTAACATGCAGGAAACCAGTAATAAGAAATTAAAGAATGAAATTTGAAAATTTTCTGTAAATACCAATTACTCGATGTAATGCAGATTTAATGGCTTTTCAAGTCACTGGCTCAAAAGTATGCAGATTAGGAACTCTGACATTTCTCATACTTTCCTACTCTGTGCTTATGAGAGCAGTATCTTAAACAGCGCTAAACCCCTGGACTGTCAACAAGAAGATTGGACATGAACCGTAGCTCCAATATATAAAACACGTTTATAAAATACACTTCTAAAAATACTGTAGAATTTGGAGTTATTCAAATTGTAATGTATTTAGGCAGCCAAAAAATTTAACATTATTGAATCCTTCAAATACAACTTAATAAAATATATTCATTCATTTGGAAGCCCGCTTTAACTTTTGGTAGACCCTTTTTTTTTCCCAGCAATACCTTTTTTATTCATAAAGGCTACATTCACCTTTGTAACGTGTTACAGCCATATTTACGGTGCCAAATGTAAAATTTTAAAAGACAGCACCTGTCCCCACTGCCAGGTCCTTCCCCGGACAGTTGGCTGGGGATCTTCTCCCTACTCCTGCTGTCACCATTTAAAAACAGCATGGCCGTGTGGGGCTCTGCCAGAGGGCTGCATCATTCATTCACAGAGTTCTGTGAATGAATGAACTACAAGTCCTTTTAGCCACAGAAGCAGACAGCTTGTAGTTCTCAATGAACCATGACAGGACTGGCAAGTGTTCTCAATTTGCCAATTGGAAAAAGGTGCCGATACATGCAAAGTCACGTCTCATAGACTTTCATGCAAAAAGACCCTTAGTGACTTTAATGCAAAACTATGTCTCACAGCTTTCATGTAAAGTCATGTCCCTATTGACTAATTCAAAAACGCTCCTAGCGACTTCAAATGTAAAATTGCCAGCCACATTAATTAAAAAATAATCTTTCATTTTAGGTTTTTGGCCAAGTGCATCCTGAATTTTTGTTTTTTCCACCAATATCATGGATTCCTCCTGCAGTTCAATAACTGCCTGCCCGTACAGGAGGTACGGGCAGACAGCTAAGAGTCTGCAGGATCCTGGCATTGCACCGACAATCTGCTGATCATGGGTGCAATGCTTATCATTTTGCAGGTAAAAAAAAAAAAAAATTTGCATTAATTTTTTTTTTTTTTTTATAAAAAAGGTGAACTTATCCATTAAGTAATACAATTTATATGACAAGTGTTTTTGGCTGAATTTATGAATGCCAACTTACACTCTTAAAAAGAAACTTGTACTAAGAAAAATACAGAGTTACCAATGCCTCCTCGATACTAGTGGTTACTGTCCATTTGGGAAGATCAGTTTATGTACTAGAAGGTGGAACATATCTAAGGGACGATTAGATATTATTCATACACCAGCAATTGCCTACTTATCTGAAGTAAAAAAGTGACACAGCAGATACTGTATTCTGTAAGAATGTCTAGCTTATGTGTTAGTCTGATACAGGCCTAACCAACAATCTAAAAATGGTTCAATGAGAATTAAAGCTCAGGAGTTTCTAATTCTTGCCCACTCAATAGAAACCAAAAAAATAAGTGGATGATGATGATGGAACTTGTGATTCAATTTCCTTAACCAGTTAACGACCACCCTATAGCAGATGTACTGCTACAGGATGGCCGATCTTTGCAAAAATCATGTGATTTGGCACTTGTTGGTTGAGGGGGTGCACACTCCGGGCACGCTGATTCTGCTGTGATTAGTCACAGCAGAAGCCAATCAGTGTGTGCTCGCAAATGGATGCCGCCGCCGCAAGCTGATCGTTGAGGGGAGAGAACACAGCTCTGCCTATGTAAACAAGGCAGAGCTGTGCCCTGTCAGCGCCGACGTGCTGGACTTGTTTCCCTGCAAAGCAAAGAATAAAATCCAGCACATTACCTAGTAAAAACACCACACAGTAAACACCAACACACTTGTTAGGCACAGTTATGCCCTAGATGTTTAACCCCTTCCCAGCCAGTGTCAGTGCATATTTGTAGCACTGATCACTGTATTAGTGTCACTGGTTCTCACAAAGTGTCAGATTGTCCGCCACAATATCACAGTCCCACTAGAAGTTGCTGATCGCTGCCAATACTAGTATAAAATAAAGCTATAACTTTTTTGCGCAAAACCAATCTATATACGCTTATTGGGATTTTTTTTTTACCAAACATATGTAGCAGAATACATACTGGCCTAAATTTATGAAGAAATTAGATTTAAACTTTTTTTTATTGGATAGGTTTTATAGCAAATTTAAAAAAATATTGTTTTCAAAATTTTTTTTTTTTTTTTATTTAGAAAGCAAAAAAACAAAACAAAAACAAAAAACAGTAAAATGATCAAATACCACCACAAGAAAGCTCGCTTTGTGGGGAAAAAAAAAAAAAAAAAAAGACAAAATTTATGTACAGCGTTGCATGACCACACAACTGTCAAAGTAACGCAGCGCCATATAGCAAAAATTGGCCTGGTCATGAAGGGGGGCAAATCTTCCAAAGGTCAAGAGGTTATGGTAAACCCTTTATGAAAAGTAAGAAAGCTACCATTGTTGCGTTTTCCTAAGAATGCTATCTGCCTGGCTATCATAGTGACCCTCTTTATGTCAAAACTTTGAATTGTTGACCTAGAACAAAATAAGATAAGCACTCCTGGGTCCCCAGCACCCCGTCCCTGACTTGCAGGCTTGCTCCAGGTCAATGGCTCAGAGTATTAGTCGGTCAACATACAAGCCATTTATATGATAAAGTGGAGTTCCACCCAAAAGTGGAAGCTCTGGTTGTTTGCCTCCCCCCCCCCCCCCTTCACTGCCATATTTGGCAATTTTTGGAGGGGGGGGGGGGGGGTAGCATATATCTGGTTCTAACAGGTACCTGCTCCTACTTCCAGGTCACTTTGCCACGGCAGGTTCAGCCCCCCTCCTTGTCCCAGAAGACTGCTGGACAATCAAGATGCACAGCACGACCCATGCATTTGCAGTGGGCATCCAGCTGTGAAGCCGCAAGTTGTCACAGCCTGGTGCCCACAGCAGAGATTCCAGCACCGGGGAGAGAAGGGGGAGAGAAGGGACAGCACGGGTGAGCACATTGCTGGACCCTGGGACAGATGAGTGTTTATTAAAAGTCAGCAGCTAAAGTTTTTGTATCTGCTGACTTGATAAACAAAAAAACCTAAGAAAATTTACATCTTTAGGAAATGTATTAATTTGTATTATATTTGAGGCCTCATAGTGGATTTTTAGCACACAGTCTGGTTCAGATCTGCTGTTACTACTGTAGACTACAGCAGAAATGTTCACGAATGCAGTCCTAACCACCATGCAGACACACAAGGGATGTCTGGCCAATTTCACCTTTTCATGTGACTTCCTCTGTTCTTGGTCATAGGGGTGAAGCACTTGTAGGTTGCAGATCTCACACACATCTCCATGGATATAGCCACAGCTTTCTCCATAGTGACATGCCCCTGCAGCTGCATAGGGGCAAAGCTGCTGGGGGTCCCCAGGAAAAGGCGAGGCTGCCTCGACTTCTTCCAGTCCTGTACAGATGGCTTCCAGGTAAGAGTGCGGTTTTAACACTTGATCAGTCACTTGAGTATCACTGCTGTAGTTTTGGTTAAAAGCAGGATTCGATCGTTTATCTTCTGCCAGTCCCGATAAATCTAATAATGGCATTAGAAAAAGACAACTGATAGCCTTGAGTTCATGTGAAATTTTAAGAATCACACAGCCACTAATCTCTAATGCGCAAGTATAGTCCATACCGTTTCTTAATTTAACAATGTGCTAAAAATTTAGCAACATGCTTAAAGTGGGTTTCCACTTTTCCAGCCAAATTTGAGAACCACCTTAAGATCTTTGTTAGGAGACTGTGTGCACATCTAGTTTACCACTGATTGTATGGTCTGCAAACACAGTCCGGACAGGGTTAGTTAATATACAACTCCCCAGTCCCCTTTTTAACATTATGTAGAAGTAGGAAACTTCATAGAAGGAAAATCAGAAAAGTGCAACAAAAAGATAAGAAGCCATTTTTAAAGATTTTTGTTTAAAGTTACATGAATTGTAACATGTAGGTTGGTGTAATCCTAATTTGACTGCAATGGTAGAAACACACTTTAACCGTCAAGTACAAATTCTATCATAAAACAGGATCAGTTCTGGAAAATATATATCCTAGCTTACCTGTACTTGGATGTGGAGGCTGCATTAGTTTTCATTTCTCAGGCTAAGAACCAGGGGCGGACTGACCATTTGGAAACTCGGGCACTGCCCAAGGGCCCGGGGTCAGTAGGGGGCCCCATGAGATGCCCCTGGTACCTTTTTTTCAAAGGCTTTTTTGAGTTTGGGCAAGGACACAGGGGCCCCATGATCCCCTATTGCCCGGGGGCCCCATGAGTTGTCAGCCCACCCCTGCTAAGAACATTTTCAGCAAGTACAAAAAATATCCATTCCTTGTTAGAAATGCTATGTTCGTGTAACTTCATGTAATTTTTTTCCTTCCATGCTATTCTCTGTAAATTACAAAATTTCCGCACTGGAATATAATAGAGATGGAGAGGAAGACATGCTTGTAGCCCAAACAATGGGTCCTTCAGGGTTACAACCATGACTTCTGAAGGAAGTAAGTCTAACCAAAAAAAAGCCTGAAAAAGGAAAACTAAAACACAACCACTTCTGAACACTGGTAAGCTACAACATATTACGCTTTTGGGTTTAGATACACCCAACAGTGAACCTGTGCACAGATCATGCACACTACATTTTTTGCATATTCTCACAACCAGAAAAAGCTTTTTGAAGGATAGGTTTACCTTTCCTTACATGTTACACCCTTATTCAGGGTGTAACATGCAACAGGTTACTGTTACAGCAGACTTGCACCACCCAATCCCCCATTGTGACAGCAGGCCAGGAATCTTCTCTCCGTACCCACAGTCACAATTTTTAAAAAAAAGGCGGCTGTGCAGAGCTCTGCCCACTTGGCTGCATCACTCATTCACACAGAACTACAACTACAGTCAGCCATTACAGCTGATGGATTGTAGTTCTCAATGAACTACCAGGGCGCTGATGAGTGCTCTAGGTAGTTCATTGATGCTTATCCTTTAACCTGCCGCTGCGGGTGGACGTTTCTAAACACAGATCGCTGTAAGGGACCTCCGTGTGAGGTCCCGATTCATGTGATCACTGATTGGCCAATCAGTGATCACATGAACAGTACATGAACTACAAGAACAGTAGTAAACAAGATGTCACTTCCTGACATAATTGCTTACTACTTGTGAAATCTGTGAATGATCACAGAGGGCACATGGTACAAGGCTGTTCACAACAGCCTTGTTCCATGTGACAAGCTGTGACCAATCACAGCTCCCACAGTATTTCTCAATGGCTGTAGGAATTTATGGGTGTAAAAGCAATCAGTGTGAAAAAGAAAAAAAAAAAATCATCACCCCTCCCAATGGTGACACTGTACTACTAGGGTGACAGTATCTTAAAAAAAATATAAAAAAATAAAATTTAAAAAATGTTTTTAAAAATTATAATTTTTGGTTATAAACTAATTTGGGTTTTTTTTTTTAACTAAAAAGATGAATACTTTTTGGACTTTTTCATTTATATAGCAAAAAAAAAAAAAAAAAAAAAAAAATCCCAGTGGTGAATAAATACCTTCAAAATAAAGTTTCATCTGTCTCAAAAGAATGCTAAAAAATTCATATGGGTACAGAGTTGCATGACTGCGCAATTGTCAAAATGTGACAGCAGTGAAAGCTGAAAATTGGCCTGGACTGGAAGGGGGTGAAAGTGTCCGGACTTGAAGTGGTTAAAACAAGCCCTTAGAGACCGTTGACATCTGCGTGGTGTGTTTTTAAATCCGTTTTAGGTGTGATACCAAAAAATACTCTGTATAACGGGAGTTTGATACAGGCTCACGTTAACCTTATATCCACATACCACGATCTCGGAGTACAAGACTCTTCTTCTCACGCCCTTTGATGGGCACTTTTTGTGACAACTGGTGGGACTTCTGAGGAAGGTGAAGGTGTTTCTTGATTAGCAGGTGGGATACTTTGAGGAGTGTGAACTGCGGGAGGACCTGACGGTTTTACATGATCATACCTGTCAAGAAAGAAGACTTCAATATTCTCCAAGCATCTGTAAAAACAAATGATCTCATCCTACCATTAATTGTTGACTGTATGGAATTTACATAACAGATCTTTATCATAGAGTTTGGGTGTCCAGTCTATATTACATTATTCTGCTCTTCAAGCTACTTTTTTCAAGATTTGTAAGACGGGGGGGGGGGTGCCAGAACTCTGACTTGAAGCTCAAAGTCAGGATTTGCATACAGTGTGCTCAGGTCTAGGGGCTAATGGGGGGCACTCTGAAGGAGATTCCGGTCAGAATGATAATCTACTTAATCAAATAGAATATATGTATCCATTAAAAGGATGTGTAAGAAGCTAAGAATATACTTATTATTTCTGACACTGAAAAGAACAAGAAGGTTAGGAGTGAATAGCTTGTATGCAGGATCCCCAGTTTTTAAGGTCCAATAAGAGACATACATCTAGTAATGCTAATCCTCAAAGAAAAGGCCCATGCAAAAAGGAAGTATCAAAAGAAATGGGTGGCTGCAAGATCTTAACAGCAGGGTACCTTGGTATTGCCAACTACCAAATCTAGATATAATTTGCAGGATCCATACCTACAACGAGACCCATACGCACACTGTCCTTTTTGATAAAAGCGACAAACAGTGGATGGTTTACTCGTGGCCAAGTCATGTGAAAATAAACAGCGATTTCCTTCTCGACACACGCCATGTATGAAATATCTGAAAATAAGAGAAAAGGTTATACGTTTGCCTTCCAGAACACAAAAACAGCGCAAGAAAGTTTGCAGTGTTCAGGCAGAACTCCTGCCAAAAGTAAAAAAAACAAACAGCCCAATAAAGATAAAATAACAAAACCAGAATTTTCTGCAATACTCTTCCTAAAACCTGAGATTTCCCTCACAGTGCTTTTTTGCTACTAGCCCTCATTCTAATGGCTTGCCTCATTCATCCCACTTTCTGAGCCCAGGCTGTCTGGAACCAACCCCAGCCCATGAAAGGACTGTACATTGCCCATATCACCAACTTAACAGCCGTGTTCTATATATCACAATATAGGAGGATAGAACATCCAGCTCTAACTCTAAAGGTTTCAATCATGTCTCCTCTTTCCCTTCTTTCCTCCAGACTTTACATATTTAGTTCCTTAAGTGATGAGGGTTTGGGCCAGCTTGGCCCGAACAAAACTATTTAGAGTAACAGGAAAGCTGGACTTCGGCTTTAAATTCTCAGTACACAGACCCTACGTGATATTACTGCTCACTGGTCTACAATAGTTTATAACCATGAACCCTATATGTTCATGTACAGTACACATCCATAGGTGACAATAGGACAAAACATTACACATTGTCAAAGACAAGAGTATAACATTCAATCCTTACCCCACTGCAAAGCATGAGATTCCAATTACTGAATACTACTCACCACTCTGTAGCAGAGTACAATGCTGATCCCTATGATAAAGCATCACCAATTATATTACGGATCACTGTGTGTGTTCTCTGTTACGTCCTATCCAACTTTTGGCAAGTTTTTTTTTTTTTTTTTTTTTTTTAAACAAGGTAGGTTGCCAGAGCTTTTCTCAATCCTGTCCAATGACTCAGCTTGGGACCGGCAAGCAGAATGTGATAGCAAACCAGTTATTTTGCTAACCATGGGTTTTTATACAGGGATTGCTACTCCATGTATGTATGCTATAGCAGAGCTTAAAATTTCAAGTCCTGAGCTACTAGCCAGGCCTTAAGAGTTACTCGCCACCAACAAACATGCACAAACAGAGACACCTGTACACACACACACAGACATGTACACACACACACGTACAGATACACACGTACACACACACAGACATGTACAGATACACACACGTACATGCATACACAAACACACACACATGTACACACACCACCCACTAAAAGTTGCAGTACTTCGTTGTTCACTCACAGAGCTGGGTACTGTACTCTAGAGGGAGGCAGAGAGCACAGCACACACTCCTTCCTTTGCTTTCACTGCGCTCAGCTTTTGAGCAGTCTGATGGCTCCCAGTGCCAATGACAGATCTGGCCTGAGCTCCGAGCCTGCTCAGCAAGACGGTACTGGGGGACACACTCGCCCCCACCATAATTTCCACTCACCATTGGCGAGCGGAAATTTCAAGCCCTTTGCTATAGGAATGTATGACGTAAGGCTACGATACATTGTAGTTTGTCTCTTTTTAATTGCTTGGTTCTTTGTAAAACTACAACTACTACTACTTACATGCCAAGGCTAATTTAAAAAGAAGCCAAAAAACTTACTAGCAAGGAGTGAGAAAGGAAACCTGCACAAGCAGATAATGTTCTGGCTGACATTCAAACGGAGGAACCTAGTGCTGCAAGGCAGAAGTTCCTTGACAGCAGCTGTACTGTTCATAGATGATTGTAAACAGCTCTACTTACCTACATTACAGAGCTCTATATATCCCCATATAGGATAGAACACGGAGCTCTCACCTTCCTGTACAGAATAAAGCCCTCAATACAGAGCACTCCTCACTGCACTATATCCCTATGGTACACTACACATCCCTTATCACCATATGCAAGGCTGTATAGGAGGACAGACCACAGAGCTCCCACCTTCCTGTAAGCATGGACTCATTGTAAGGCCTGTTGCACACAGGAGTAAAAAATGCAGATTTGTTTTTACTGATCTGAAATGAGATGTATTGTTGTCTATGGGACATTGCACACAGTCGAGTAAAGATCAGTTATACAGCGCTGAGTATTGTGTGCAAATTTTACATTTGCATGCAGTAAGTTACTTGCATGTTTACTAGGGATGCACCAAAATTTCAGTGGTCGAAACATTTTGGCTGAAAACACCCCTATCAACTGTTGGCCAACAGGAAAATAGGCACCAATATAGGTGCAGAAAATAACCTCGCCGCTGCCGTCACTGGCCACCACTCGGTAGTTCTCAGCCTTACCTGAGAAACCACAGAACAATCCCAGCGCTGGGCATAGATATAAGTGAAGGAAAGGTGGCCTCCACTCATCTCTATGCCCTTGGAGGACCAGAGTGATGTCACTTCCGGTTCTGGCGCCTAGTAAACAAGGCCATTTTCTTTTAAAGCAGCAGACCAATGCTTTTTTTTGATCTAATTAATGCTTTACATTTCAAAGGAGAGGTACACAAGGTATGCATGCATTCCTTGTGATAGGAATAAAAGGGATTACAATTTTTTTTTTTAAAGGGACAGTTGGAAAAAAAAAAAAAAAAAAAAAAAGTTTAAAGTGCCCCCTGTCCCCCCATGCTCGCACATAGTGGTAAACGCATATGTAGGCCACACCCACATATGTAAACTGTGTTCAAACCACACGTGAGGTATCGGCACAAACATCAGATCAAGAGTGATAATTCTAGCACTAGACCTCCTCTAACATTACACTGGTAACCAGTAGAAATGTTTAACGTGTCACACATGGAGATTAAGTACTGTAGTTTAACACCATTCCACAAGCGTGTGTAATTTAAAGCATGACATGTTTGGTATCTTTTTACTCCGCGTAACATCATCTTTAATAATTTGCAAAACAATTGGGGTATATATTGTGTTTTTTTTTTATCAGTGTATTTTTTTCCAAAAAAATTATTTAATTTTTAAAAACTGTCCCATTTTGATTTCGGTTTTAGGCCAAGTGCATCCTGAATTTTTGGTTTCAGCACCAGAATTTTTATTTCGGTGCACCACTAATGTTTACGCATTTAGATCCCGTCCCCGCTAGCTGTTACAGTGGTCGGCTGGTCTGATCGTTGCATGTTACATCCTGAATATAGGTATATTGTGTTACGAAAGGTAAACTCATCATTTAAAGAGATAGTAAATTGCAAAAAAGTGAAAAGTAGAAAACCTTTTCCATGTAAGTTAAGAGCATAATGTACTAGTATACATCGCACATTATGAAGGACTTGCCGAAAAGTGAACCCCTCCAGCGATGCGCTGTCACGGCTCCCCCAAGGCTTCCATCTTCACCCAGTCTTCCTTCTGGTTTCCCAGGCTGCAGCCATTTGGCCGATCTACAATGACGTCACTCCCCCGCATGCGCCAGTGACATCATGGCAGTTCACGTTTAGGAGATATTTCCAGTACCTACAGGTAAGCCTTACTAAAGACTTGCCTGTAGATAAAACATAAAAAATAGGGTTAACTTCCACTTTTAAAGCAGGTGGTGGGGATACAAGTCCTCCTCACTGCCCATCGAATGCTCTGTGTTCAGATCGCTCTCCAGAGCCCAAACCAAATGTGTGTGATCTCTTCATTCTCTTCACTCCCCAACATCAGCTTTCCCTCTAATTTTGTGGTGCCCGTTTCTGTCTGTGTGATGAGATGTCTCCCAGCGCTCAGGAAAAATACAGGAGGTTCCTTGGGGTGTGACTGTGTTTTTGACTGCTGCAAACTTCTTTGGAATCACCTGAAAACCCATGTGTAAGGCCTTATGTAAGGTGTATGTCTGTGGAGGCCGTATTTCTCTGAACATATGTCAAACTACAGCTACTGCAACCCAGTTGTGATCAATAGGACTGTCTGTATGAGGATGCATGAGACACCCCAGTGTGGGTAAACACTGCCCTCCACGGGCGTATACTTAAAGTGGAGCTCCACCCAAAAGGGGAAGTTCCGCTTTGAGCACTGGTCCCCAGCTCCCTGTGACAAGTTGACACCTTTCGGGTGCTGGTACCAGATTTTGACAGGCACCCGCTCCGACTGCCTAGGCTATTGGAAGCGGGAGTTTTCTTCCCTCCGCAGTCTTCAGGGACACATAACAGGTCCCAGAAGACTGCTCAACCATTCACAGGGCGCAGCGCTACTCGCGCATGCGCAGTGGACACCCGGCCGTGAAGCCGCAAGTTGTCAAAGCTGGGTGCCCACATTTAAGATCCTGGTGCCGGGGACAGAGAATGGCCAGTGAACCTGGCTGAGGTGAGGATACCACTGGATCGTGGATTTGTTTTTCAAAGTCAGCAGTTAATTTTTTTTCAGAGAAGACCGGAGCACACTTTATCTACACCATGTGTGAAGGAGGCCTTACTCGTTTTCCACACCATTTTATAACATAAGTCTCCTCCAACCAGCACCAGCTTTGCATCGGCTAAAATGCAAGCCCAAAAATGCTTAATCATGTAGAGCCCCTTGCACACTGCCATCATAATTTACTGATATTTCCTCAGGAACATGTGACACTCGCATGCTAGGAGCCAAAAACTGTGTGCAAAGGAGTAATGTTGAGTATAGGTGAGTAAAGTTTTGAAGGCATATAGAGGAGTACAGGCTAGTAAAAGTCTTCATTACCAGTATTGTGGCCCCTTACAGACAGGCGCTACAAGTTCCAGAGTACATTTCAGTGAATTATGACGCTTGTGTGCTGTGGAGCGCCATGGCAGTTCATTCATTCTTCCTGTCAGTATATCTGCTTGTTCATACATCCCGTACGGCAAGCAGATATACTGACAGATCTGCAGGAGACCTGCATGGCACCAGTCATCTGTTGATTGTTGGTGCAATGCTTTCCAGGCTCCTGCAGACAAAAATAATAAATGCAATTTTTTTACCCGCAAAAAAAATGAGCATGTTATTTTTTTTCTAAAAAGGTGAACTTATCCTTTAACCCCGCACTACAATTGTGTGCATCTCACTCAGCTGGAAGGGGCAGGCAGTGGCCCTGGTCACAGGTCACTTGGCGGGCACTACTCCCTTCTAAAGCAAAGGGGAATAATTCCTGCCACAGCTACTAAGAAAACTATCTCAGCATGCGTACACACCCCCCCCCACCACTGCCTCTGCAGCTAAAGTGGATGCCGTTGGGGGATGGTAAAAGGGTTGTACTGCCCCTCAACTCATAACTGTAGTGTGAACGCCCTCGGAGTCACTTTAAGACTTAAACAAATGCAAAATACACCTGTACACAGAAGAGCCACAAATGACCACAGATGTTCAGCTCTCATGTAAATGGGGCCCTCACACGCCTCAGGGCATGGGGGGTGATTGGGCCTTCACATGGCTCTAGTGAAGGGGGGGGTAAACAGGGACCCTTGCACAGTCCTTGGGGGTGATTGGGTCTTCACATGGCTCTAGGGAAGGGGGGTAAACAGGGACCCTTGCACAGTCCTGGGGGGTGATTGGGCCTTCACATGGCTCTAGGGAAGGGGGGGGGGGGGGTAAACAGGGACCGTTGCACAGTCCTGGGGGGTGTTTGGGCCTTCACACGGCTCTGGGGAAGGGGGGTAAACAGGGACCCTTGCACAGTCCTGGGGGGTGACTGGGCCTTCACACGGCTCTGGGGAAAGGGGGGGGGGGTAAATAGGGACCCATGCACAGTCCTGGGGGGTGATTGGGCCTTCACACGGCTCTAGGGAAGGGGGGGTAAATAGGGACCCTTGCACAGTCCTGGGGGGTGATTGGGTCATCACACTAGGGATGCACCCAGTCGGCCGAAATTAAAAAGTACCGACACAGGTGCTGAAAAACCCCGCCCCTTGCTGCCACCACCAGTCGCCGCTCGGTAGTTCTCTCGGCCTTACCTGAGAAACCATCGATCCTGGCGCTGGGCATAGAGCTGAGTGAAGGAAAGATGGCTGCCACTCATCTCTATGCCCTTGGAGGACCGGAGCAATGTCACTTCCCGTTCTGGCCATTTTTTATAGCACCAGATCAATTTTTTTGGTATAATGCTTTACATTGTAGAAGAGATGTGGGGTTTTATTGACCCCAGATCTCTCCATAAAGAGGACCTGTCACTAATTATTTCTATCACAAGGGATACATGCATTTCTTGTGATAAGAATAAGTGATAACATTTTTTTTAAAAAGGGACAGTGCAACAAAAAAAATGAAATAATTACAAAAAAAAAAAAAAAGTTTAAAGTGCCCCCGTCCTCACACGTAGTGGTGACCGCACATGTAGGTCACGCCCACATATGTAAATGATGTTCAAACCACATACATGAGGTATGCCCATGAACCTCAGAGCAATAATTCTAGCACTAGACCTCCTCTGTAACTTTACACTGCTAACCTTTTTCATCCAAGTGCATTTTGAATTTTAATTTCCGTGCACCACTACTTCACATGACTCTGGGGAAGGGGGGCGTGTGAACAGGGACCCTTGCATGGCCTGGGGGGGTGATTGGGCCTTCACACGGCTCTGGGGAAGGGGGGGTAAACAGGAACTCTTGCACGGTCCTAGGGGGGGATTGGGCTTTCACATGGCTCTGGGGAAGGGGGGGGGGGTAAACAGGGACCCTTGCACAGGGGGGTGAACAGGGAGCCTTACACAGTCCTGGGGGGCGAATGGGCCATCACATGGCTCTGGGGAGGGGGGGTGAACAGGGCCCCTTGCATGGCTCTCGGGAGGTGAACGGGGCCCCTTCACATGTCTCTGTTGGGGGGGGAAAACAGGGGCACTTGCAGGGTCCTGGGGGCCCTCACATGGCTTAGGGAAGGATGGGGGGTAAACAGGGCCCCTTGCATGGCTCTTGGGAGGTGAACAGGGCCCCTTCACGTCTTGGTGGGGGGGTAAACTGGGACTCTTGCATGGTCCTGGGGGGTGATTAGGGCACTCACACGGCTTAGGGAAGGGGGGGGGGGTGCACAAGGGCCCTTAGCATGGCTCTCGGAAGGTGAATGGGGCCCCTTCACATGTCTCGGGTGGGGGGGTGTTTGAACTTGGCCCTCATTATTGTGGCTGGTTGCAGTGCTCCCTCCCATCACACAGCCCTCTCTATATCCATCTCCACAGAGGAGGAGAGAACAATGAGCTCTCACCCCCCATACCCCTGAACTCTGCACTCATCACACAACTTCACCCACAACGTGGAGCGCCCCCCTCCTCCCTGCCGGTAGAACAAAGCCTCCCCTCCCACCGCACTCCGACCGAGTCCCGCTCCCACCTGCACGTCACGTGTTTGGTGTTCATGGCTGGAGCCGGTGTCCCCACGTCACGCTGGTTATGTTGTTATTGCCTGCTCCTCTCCCGGGGTCCCTCCCCCTATCCCTCCATGACACGCCCCCGGCCGGCGGCAGTACATGACATCATTAAATGTGCAGCGCGGCCCCGCTCCGGCCGGCAACAAGAACCGGGAACTTTAGTTCCACCATGTGGGCCTCGTGTGGTTATAGTGGGGAAGGGGAGCCCAGAGGTCTATGGACACAAAGGCGGCCAGTGGGCTCTCCTGCTCGTCCCTGCAAGGAAATACACGTTGATGATGGCCGTCTATGAGAAGCATGGCCCTTAAAGTATAATTGAGGGCAAAACGATCTTTTTCAAATTTTAGAGCAAAAGGGGTGTTCTAATCCTTGTTTTGCTTTTTTTTTTTTTTTTAGAAATAAATAAAATTATATCTGTGTTCCGTTACATTCCGGCTGTGGTCCACAATGGTTTGATATTTCACGAAGTAAATGTAACATTCTATACTAGATTTTGGATAGAGTGAGGGAGGGTGATGACCCTTGCCAGTTTTTTTTTTTTGCCATGTGTCCCATTGAGGGAGATTTCCCTTCACTTCCTGTCCCATAGCCAAAACAGGAAGTGAGAATCCTGGGGTGTCACCAGAACTGGTTTCTCCTCTCTTCTGACTCCTTCACGCATGCTTTCATTCCTCTTTAGAGAGCATTTGGCTTGCGGTGAGGGCCTGTGTATCATCTCCTCACCGCCTGCTTTAACCCATTGAACCCCGCACTAGCATGCTGTAATAGAAAGCATTGCATGTGGTTGCCGGGGAGAGGGGTGTTGTAGCGTGGCCCCTATCACTTCAATGGGTTGCACTCAGGGGCAACCTGCAACAAAATTGACAGTGGGTACGATTCCTGCTGCTGCATGTGTACAATTCCCCCCCCCCCCCCCTGCTGCCTCTGGTGACTGGTTGGAAGGCAGTAAAAACACGACTCAACTGCTAGTGTGAACAAGCTCTTCTGTTGTAACGACTGCTCAAAAATTGGGGTTTTCTTTCAAGTTTGGTCCCTGGGACAAATAGAAATCTCCATAAGTCTAGGTTCACACTTCTGTGGGTCGGGGATGCTCACATAATCACGTGTGTTCTTGAACTGCAGGCAAGACACTGCTCTTTAGCAGACATGCAAGGGGTGCTATTCATTTTTAACGGCACCCTCATACATTGGAAAATGCAGGGCATTTTCACAATCACCAAATAGCATGGTGCCACAGCCAGGGCTGCTGTTAGAAACCACGGGGCCCCATTCAGCCAACCTGACAGCCCCCACCCAAAGAAAAAAAAAAGTACAGTTTACTATGCTTCAGTTATGAATGAACACAGTGAGTGATATGTACCGATCATTAACTGTGTTCATTCAGGAAAGGAAGGGGCTGGTAAATGTGACATATTTTACCAGACCCTTCCTCTAATCTCCATCCTGAAGGAGAGGAGGGAAGCCGGAAGCACTGCGGGGGTGGGGGCACATAGGGGGGGCCTGGACAGCAGGAGGAAATGTAAGGTGCACAGGGAGGGTGATGGGTGCAGCGAGGGGGCAATTACTGGAACTGATCCCCTGTATGGCTCTCTGCAGCAGCTGAAAGTCAGTGGGAGGGAGAAGAAGCCAGCTTTCAGCTGTTGCAGAGAGAGCCATACAGGGGGTTGGGTGCAGTAATTGCCCCCCCCCGTCATGCTGATCACCCTTCCTGCCCACATTTGATTCACCCAGCTGTCTGGGCCCCCCTGCTGGCCTGGGCCCCGTACAAGAGGACTGGTGGTACCCCCTTATCCACGGCCCAGGTGTGGCAAGACTTGAAGGAAAGTGCCCGAGACTTTTTCCCTGCATTTATGGGGGTGGAGCGGCACATTGACATGAATGGGCTGCCTACCTACAAAACACAGGTTGCACAAGTGTGAACCTACCGTAACGGGCACAGACAGTAGTAAACACCTAACAGGTATTATGATCCCTCTCCCCACTAAACTGAAAAAAAGATTGGGTTGGGTTGTTATTGCTGTCTGTGCCCCGTTACACTGGGTTCACACTTGTTCGGGAGATTCCCCCTCTGTTTGTCCCAGTGACCACTGTAGTGCTACCCCTGAAGGAGCCACTAGTTAAAATGGGTCCCTTGTTAGCCTCGACCTCCTCAAAGACCTCAGCCCCTCTGATGCACTAAACTGCATACACAAACTTTCACAGAGAACTCACTGACAGTGACCTTAGCGGCCAGCTAATACGCTATTTTAAAGAATAGCACCCCATTTAAAATGTTAAAATGGGATGCCTCAAGACTATCCATAATTTTAAAGGGTGCCTCGGGACTGTCCATAATTTTAAAGGGCGCCTCAAGACTATCCATAATTTTAAAGGGTGCCTCGGGACTGTCCATAATTTTAAAGGACGTCTCGTGACTGTCCATAATTTTAAAGGACGTCTCGTGACTGTCCATAATATTAAAGGGCGTCTTGGGACTGTCCATAATTTTAAAGGACGTCTCGTGACTGTCCATAATATTAAAGGGCGTCTCAGGACTGTCCATAATTTTAAAGGGCGCCTCGGGACTGTCCATAATTTTAAAGGACGTCTCGGGACCGCTCATAATTTTAAAGGGCGCCTCGGGACTGTCCATAATTTTAAAGGGCGCCTCGGGACTGTCCATAATTTTAAAGGACGTCTCAGGACCGCTCATAATTTTAAAGGGCGCCTCGGGACTGTCCATAATTTTAAAGGGTGCCTCGGGACTGTCCATAATTTTAAAGGGTGTCTCGGGACTGTCCATAATTTTAAAGGGAGCCTCGGGACTGTCCATAATTTTAAAGGGTGTCTCGGGACTGTCCATAATTTTAAAGGGAGCCTCGGGACTGTCCATAATTTTAAAGGGAGCCTCGGGACTGTCCATAATTTTAAAGGGTGTCTCGGGACCGTCCATAATTTTAAAGGGTGCCTCGGGACTGTCCATAATTTTAAAGGACGTCTCGTGATTGTCCATAATTTTAAAGGGTGCCTCGGGACTGTCCATAATTTTAAAGGGTGCCTCGTGACTGTCCATCATTTTAAAGGGTGCCTCGTGACTGTCCATAATTTTAAAGGGTGTCTCGAGACTGTCCATAATTTTAAAGGGTGCCTCGGTACTGTCCATAATTTTAAAGGATGTCTCGGGACTGTCCATAATTTTAAAGGGTGCCTCGGTACTGTCCATAATTTTAAAGGATGTCTCGGGACTGTCCATAATTTTAAAGGGTGCCTCAGGACTGTCCATAATTTTAAAGGGTGCCTTGACTGAAAAAAGGTTGAGAAACACGGCTTTATATAACTGAGCATCTCCAGGTCTAAACTGATTTTTCTAAACATGGGTGCAAAAAACACAAAAACACTTCTCCATCAATGAAAGGGTTAACCCCTTGTGTACGTGTGTGATCTTCTTTGGTGTTTCATCCTTCATCCCGGGCTGCAGACACGGCTCTCTCCGTGTTGTCTGTCTAGATCAGGTGTTGTGTTCCCTCCCGTGTCATATGACATCAGACTCAGGCACAGCTGCCATGACAGGGTACAGAGATCATGAGGAGCAGAAGACAATGGTGCCTCTAGCCACGAGTCTGGTAAAATTCACTCATTGTGAGAAAGACATTTACAGCAGTTTTGTTCCGCAGAAGTGTCCTATCTGTGGGGGAAATCCAGTGAGCTCCTGGGACGTGGAGCAGGCTCCGATCACCATTCCCTGCCCTTTCAGCAATGCACACAGTGAGAAATGCTGCTTTGTACTCAAGCCAACACAAGGCCGGTTTATAGGGTAAGCTAATCATTGACCACATAATTCTATACTACACATACAATGGACATTATTATGTCCCAGCTGTGCTCCTCTATTACGGACGTAGATCTTTTATTACCAGACATTACCAAAGATCCAGCACAATGGAACCTCTGCCAAAAAGTGTTAATTGAGCCCCCGGGAGCTTTTAGGTATGTGAGCGCCTTACCTAGCAAGCGATCCCCTCCAGCGTTGCTCTGTCACAGGTGCTGCCATCACCTCCCAGTCTTCCTACCAGGTTCCGACTCTTCAGCCGCTTGGTTGGCCAGGCTGTGATGGTGTCCCATGGGAGTCACATCATCATGGCACAGAGCGGTGCTGTAAATGTACCCTGAGTGGATCATAGCATGGAAAAGGGTTTATGATAGAAGAGGCCGATAGGGTCATAAAAATCCGACCTATCAGCTCATAATTACACTTTAAAGCGATATTAAACCCAAAAGCAAACATTTATTATATTGCAGTTTACCAATTCTTAGTCCTCATACACACTGGACGTTTTTACAGCGGCTGTTTTTGGCTTTTGACGTTTTTTTCTACAGCCAGTAAACCTCCCAGCATGTTATCCTATGTATCCATGCACACATAGACTGTAATCAATGTTTTTTGGCTGGAAAAAAACCCCCAGAACTAGTGGGTTTCTAGAGGAGTTTCTTAGCTGTAAAAACGCTCTAACGCTGAAAAACGCAGCAAACTGGCATTTTTTGGACTTTTTTTACCCCCCAAATTTTTTTTTGTTAAAAAAAAGCTAAAAAACGAAAATGCCACTAATCACTGCAAAACGCTGCTAAACACTAATCAAAAACGCTAAAAAAGCTGAAAAACTCACAGTTTTAACTTGACTTTACACAGCTAACGTTACCAGCGTTATCAAAATGCCCGTGTGCATGAGGAGTTAAGGTGGGAATATACAATTAGAAAATCAACCAATCGGTCATCCGATGACCGAGAGGCGTTAGTTTGTTGGTCTAAATCGTGGCCCACATTAACCGATCTAAAAAAATAATTTGTCAGGCAATATGTAGTGTTGACGTCTTCCATACAAGTGGAAGTGATGCAGTGTGCCTGTGACTTTGTAGCCACGCCCTTCCGGCCAGAACCAGCGATGTACACAACAATTACCAGCAATGAGTATAATATAGTTTATTACATTATATACATAAATAGTGATACATACAAATATATTATGCAGAATTCTGGTTTCATTACCTCATTAGGCCAATCTACTTTTAACATTTGGATTTTTCGTTCATGTTTACGAAGATTCCTTGGAAATAAACATCCGAGTCATCTTCTGTTTCCGCTCATGCGTGATAGCGCTTGATAGATTTTTTCGTACGACCGTCATACCATGGCATAGAAAATCGGTCGGTCGTATGTGAAACGACAACATTTTTCACTGTTGTTCAACTGGATTTTTTCGTTCACAATATCGTTATCGGTTAAAACATCCTGCTCATCAACGAAGAGAAAATCGTTCAATCAGTGGTTCAGCTAAATTTTTCGTTTGATTTTCGTACGGGGAATTAGATGTAATGACTGCATTCAATTTCTTTTTAGGCTTTCTTTCTTTTATTTTTATCTGGTGACTCAGCTAGCAAGTTTGTAATTTTTTTTCAGAAGGTCAAGCTCTCCAGAAGAATGCATCAGTTTACATGGATGAGACAGACCATTTACCAATAGATGTAGACAAGGGTTTATATCTGCCTTTCATCTGAAGCTTGATCGCGCTCCAGAGGGTACTGTCAGGTGGTGAGCAAGTGATGCTGTGCCTCCTCACCACCTGTTTTACCCCCATTTTGCCAACAATCGCACCGTGTTTGCGGCACTTCCCTATTTTTATTATTATTATTATACACGATTTATATAGCGCCAACAGTTTGCTCAACGCTTTACAATATAACGGAAGACAATACAGCAACAATACAGTTGAATACAAGAGGGATAGGAGCAGGGGCGGACTGACCATTTGGAAACTCGGGCACTGCCGAGGGCCCGGGGTCAGTAGGGGGCCCCATGAGATGCCCCTGGTACCTGGTACCTTTTTTATAGGCTTTTTTAAGTTTGGGCAAGGACACAGGGGCCCCATGATCCTCTTTTGCCCAGGGGCCCCATGAGTTGTCAGTCCGCCCCTGGATAGGAGGGCTCTGCTCCTTGAAGCTTACAATCTAGGAGGGAGGGGCTAGTGGTACAAAAAGGTAGTAACTGTGGGGGATGGACTGGTAGAAGGAGTAGAAGATTCCATTATTAGCTGAGGACAGGATAGGCTTCCCTGAAGAGATAGGTTTTCAGAGAGCGTCTAAAAGTGAGCAGAGTAGGCAATAGTCTGATAAATTGGGGTAGAGAGTTCCAGAGGATGGGGGAAGCTCTGGAGAAGCCCTAGAGATGAGCATGGAAGGAGGAGACAAGGGAGCTATAGAGCAGGAGGTTGTGCGATGAGCAGAGAGTACGGTTTGGGTGATATTTGAAGACTAGATCAGTGATGTAATTTGGGGCTGAGTTATAAATGGTTTTATATGTTATTGTTAATGTTTCACTTGAATGTGTAGTGTTCAATGGGCAGCAAGCTACATATCGGGTGAAGTTTGTCGTGGATGTGAAGCACTGCACCCTTGGAATGTAAACATCCCCATTTGCTGCTTACTGCAGCTTAAGGGGGCGGGTGATTGGTAGTGTTAACCCCAAAAGATCAGCTCTTATTTATTCATGTAAAACCTTTATCCCAAAAGGAAAAAAAACAGTTGCTGTAACTGACTATGTCACGTGTGTCCCTGTACCTTTAAGGAGGGATGGGCTCCTCCAGGCACACCTGCCCTTTACCTATCCATCTATACATGTGCTCCTACTATGGAGGCTTTGAACATTTTAATTAGTTGCACAGTATAGAGGACCCTTGATGTGGACTGTGGCTTACTCATGCATTTGCAAATGTGTGCAAACAAACCCCTCTGTTTTTAACTCATTCCGATAAACAGGGCCAAAGTGGTTGTTTCACAAGCTGGCTGCTAAGTGTTGCTGGGAAATCTTTTGTTTGTTTTGTGATGTGCACTGCCCTTCCATGTGCACCTTGCTGCTAAGGCTGGTTATAGGTTGGGATGGTTGCCTTTTTTTTTAAACTGATTATAAAGTGTGAGTTGGAGTTTGGCTTCAATTTATTCCCCCCCCCCCCCCCCCCCCCAGAAAGACAATGCTGCTGTCCGCTGTGGCTCTCGTTGTGCCTCCAAAGTTGTGTCTCACTAATACAGGAGATGTGTTACTGGGCAGATCACCAGAAAGCCTAAGAAAAAAAAAGCACCCACCTACACTGTTACGCCAGGAGCAGAGCAGCCTATGTAAAATCCCCTTCGCATGCTGGCTGTGCTGCTGCCCTGTGTGAGACTTATCCCCGCAGCTCACACCTTCCATTCTGGCAGCAGAGCAAAGGACATATCAGGGAGCAAGCCAAGCAATATCATAGACTGTCATGCGGAGTGTTTGGGATTATGGGGAGATGTGGTCCAAAGCTGCATCTGTATAATGCAGGAACTGACTTTCTGAACTGCAAATCCAGATAGACTCAGGAGGAGGAGGAGAGGAGGGCATTGGGCTGCAGCATTGCACGTTGGGACATTTAGTCCATTGGAGAGACTGCTGCACTCTGGAAGATATCTGCAGAACTTCAGATCCCAGTAGGAGGAGGGTGGACCTTTTTACTGTACTGTAAATCGCAGGGTAAGTGAGCGCTTAAAGTAAAATGATAGGTAAATAGAAGGAGAAAATAGCAGCTGAACACCAAAAAGGCACCATATAAAACCTCCAGAGTAATCAAAATAAAGCAAGGTGCAGCACTAAAATGTTATGTTTAGGACATATAGACATCTTTATGCAAAAATACAATAGAATAAAACAGCATAATAAAACAATATTAAGGTGCAAGTAAGAGTGTCACCTAATGGTGACTATAGGTGATTGGACACTAGACCCAAATACAGTCTATAGCGTGAGCAGAAAAGATCCCAAATGATCTTCAAAAAATCCAATGGCTGGATCCGTGGATGAGGTGATAGATATATAAGGATTGCGCACTCACCAGATACGCAATCTCAATGCGCATTTAAAGCAGATAATCTCAGGACATCAAGGATCCTTATATGGGTCTGGTCAGATCTGGTCAAATGCCCCTCACCATACATATGCAAATGGCGCCGGGGCCCTCGTGGCGCCGGTCGGCGTGACGTCACACCGCTGTAGCCGCTCTCTAAAGGGCGAGTCTCCTGGCCATTCCCAAAACCTGGATTGGAGATTTCATCCCTCCCAAATCACTTTGAAATCTCCAGGCTCCAGGTCCCAAAAATGGACTTTACAAACAAATGAGGAAAGTGAAAAACCAGTTTCTTCTGCAGTAAACAAGTACCCTGGAGCTCCTCAACCTGCCTTGTTGAGAATCCCGGGTTAAATATCCTTTCTACACTGTGACAGGTCACCACACTGTCACAAAATATATATGTATATTAAACACAACAACACAATTTTTTTCTGGCTGTAGGCTACATTCATATATTTGCATTGTAGAAGCACATTAAAAGCATTTTAGAATTGTGATTTTAGCCATATGGATCAAAAGAAATTGGCATTTCCCATCCTCACACTTTTCAGCTGCTGCCAGATCTCCCAAGGTTCCTATGTAAGCTTCATATTTATGAACAAGACTCTACAATAAAACATCATATCTATTTCTGCATTAGCCATTATGTGAATCCAATAAATGATCAGATTGTGGTTTTTTTGCAGTGAATATGATGGCTTTTCAGACCTCCATGTTGGGATTACCAGTTCTAAAGGTAAAGCCATTTATTTACAGTGTATATGTTTGTATAATTATGTTATAGTCAGAGGTGTATTTAACACACGGCAAACAAGGCATTTGCCTAGGATGGCAATTTTAAGGGGGTCGGGGGGGGGGGTGTGTGTGTTATGTGTGTAGTGTTGGTAGTGTTGGCTGCGGGTGGATGCAGTGGGGTTGGGGGAAGGGGAATATTGCAGCGATGGGCTGTGGTGGCTGCAGCAGGGGGGTTGCTAGGGCGGTACCTGAACTAAATACACCACTGGTTATAGTAGAAGCCCTAATGCATCCCTGAAAGGAAGTGTCTAAAATGGTAAATTAGAGTTTGTATTGGCAGCTAATTAATGGGGTTCAAACTGGCCTTGGAACATTAGTCAAGTATCCTAGTTTTCAGACAGAGCAAATTTCTTTGCTGCAGCCAAAATTGCCTGATTCCCTCCATCAACACAGACAGTGTTGATTGAGAATCCCTCCTGCAGAACAATTGGGGTCAGGGGAAGCCGTCCCTGCCAGGAGAACACAGAAAACACATTGCTAGCAATAACTGCATGTAAAATCCGACAGGCAGGCTGTATCCAAGTAGATCGATCGATCAACTTAGGGTACATTCAGCCTGCCCATACATGATTTGAGCCATCTATGGCTGGCTTTATATAAAAAATTGCATTCGTTCACTGTTCTTGGCTGATGAATACCATGACAAAAAACTAAACCTCCCTATTTCCACATTTGCAAAATTGTAACGTAAGAGGTCAGAATAGAATGCACTGTTGTGATACTGCTAATTACACCATTATGCAGGTACATTCTCGTCAGAGAGTGCATAGTACACACACATACACACACAGCGGTCACATGATCGGAAAAGGTCCCAATCGAAAGGGGAGATCGGGACCTTTCCGTAAGTCACGGACATACAGTGGGGATCGAAAGTTTGGGCACCCCAGCTAAAAATTTGTATTAATGTGCATTAAGAAGCCAAGGAAAGATGGAAAAATCTCCAAAAGGCATCAAATTACAGATTAGACATTCTTATATGTCAACAAAAGTTAGATTTTATTTCCATCATTTACACTTTCAAAATAACAGAAAACAAAAAAATGGCGTCTGCAAAAGTTTGGGCACCCTGCAGAATTTATAGCATGCACTGCCCCCTTTGCAAAGCTGAGACCTGCCAGTGTCATGCATTGTTTAAATGCCCAGACTCATCTGACCTTGCCCCAACGATCAGCACATGGGTTCTTCTAAGCAGTGTCTAGAAAAACTTGAAACTGAAATAGTTGACGCTCACAAAGCTGGAGAAGGCTATAAGAAGATAGCAAAGCGTTTTCAGATGTCAATATCCTCTGTTCGGGAATGTTAATTAAGAAATGGCAGTCATCTGGAACAGTGGAAGTTAAAGCAAGATCTGGAAGACCAAGAAAAATATCAGACAGAAACAGCTCGCAGGATTGTGAGAAAAACAATTCAAAACCCATGTTTGACTGCACGATCCCTCCAGAAAGATCTGGCAGACATGGAGTTGTGGTACACTATTCCACTATAAAGAGATACTTGTAATCAAATATGGTCGTCATGGAAGAGTCATCAGAAGAAAACCTCTTCTACGTCCTCACCACAAAATCATCGTTTGAACTTTGCAAATGAACATATAGACAAGCCTGATGCATTTTGGAAATAAGTTCTGTGGACCGATGAGGTTAAAATTGAAACTTTTTAGCCGGAATGAGCAAAGGTACGTAATTGGAGAAGAAGTGGGCACAAGAATTTAATGAAAAGAACCTCTGTCCAGCTGCCAACTGTTAAGCATGGGGTTGGATCAATCATGCTTTGGGTTGTGTTGCAGTCAGTGGCACAGGGAACATCTCACGAGTAGAAGGAAAAATGGATTCAATAAAATTTCAGCAAATTTTGGATGGTAACTTGATGCCATCTCTGTGAAAAAGCTGAAGTTAAAGAGAGGATTGGGTTCTACAAATGGATAATGATCCTAAAACACACCTCGAAATCCACGGGGGATTACATCAAGAGGCGTAAACTGAAGGTTTTGCCATGGCCTTCACACTCTCCTGACCTCAACATAATTGAAAATCTATGGATAGACCTTAAAAGAGCAGTGCGTGACAGACAGCCCAGAAATCTCAAAGAACTGGAAGACTTTTGTGAAGGAAGGAATGGGCAAAGATACCTCAAACAAGAATTGAAAGACTCTTGGCTGGCTACAAAAAGCTGTTTCTACAAGCTGTGATACTTGCCAATGGGGGCAGTACAAGATATTAACTCTGCAGGGTGCCCGAACTTTTGCAGACGTCATTTTTTTGTTTTCTGTTATTTTGAAAGTGTAAATGATGGAAATAAAATCTAACTTTTGTTGACATATTATAAGAATCTCTGTCTAATCTGTAATTTTGATGCTTTTGGAGATTTTCCATCATTTCCTGGCTTCTTTATGCACATTATACAAATTTTTACAGCGTACCTTGATTAAAAAGTTGATTGGAGAGGGGAAAACATTTAAAGAAGTGCAGAAAATGATAGGCTGCGCTGAGCAAAATGATTTAAAATGGCAACCAAAACCGGAAAGACGTGGAAGAAAGAGAAAAACTACCATGTCAAATGGATAGAAGAATAGCCAAAATGGCAGGACTCAGCCAACAATCAGCTCAGGAAGATCAAGAAGGTGTAATAGTTCCCTGTGAGTACTGTTACAATTAGAAGACGCCTATTGTGAAGCCAAGCTATCTGCAAGAAGCCCCCGAAAAGTCCACTGTTGAAAAAAAAAGACGTGCTGAAGAGGTTACAATTTGCCAAAGAGCACATTGACTGGCCTAAAGAAAATGGCGCAACATTTTGTGGGTACTGATGAAAGTAAGATTCTGTTCTTTTTGGGTCTATGGCCGGAGACAGTTTGTGAGACGACCCCAATACACGCTGAATTCAAGCCACAGTACACTGTGAAGACAGTGAAGCATGGTGGTGCAAGCATCATGATATGGGGATGTTTCTCATACTACGGTGTTTGGGCCTATTTATCGCATACCAGGGATCATGGTATCAGTTTGAATACATCAGAATACTTGAAGAGGTCATGCTGCCTTATGCTGAAGAGGAAAATGCCCTTGAAATGGGGTGTTCCAACAAGACAACGATCCCAAACACACCAGTAAACGTGCAACATCTTGGTTCCAGTCCAACAAGATTGACGTTATGGAGTGGCCAGCCCAATCCCCGGATCTTAATCCAATGAGAAAACTTGTGGTGGGTGACATCAAAAATGCAGTTTCTGAGGCAAAACCAAGGAAATAGAGAAGAACTGTGGAATGTAGTCCAATCATCCTGGGCTGGAATACCTGTTCACAGGTGCCAGAAGTTGGGTGACTCCATGCAACACAGATGTACAGCGCAGTTCTCAGAAACAGTGCTTTTACAACTAAATATTAATTAAGTGATTCAAAGGAAAGCAAAATCTTCAAACATTTCTCAGTTTATATAGTGAATGTTTTAGTTTGTAAAGAAGAATACAAACACTGCTATTTTTTGAACAGTCTAATATTCACTTTTCTTCAATTTTTTTTAGAGGAGCAACACAAATATGATATATTTTTCTTCATGTTTGATTTGGAATAGAATGTGTAGTGTTCCCAATGCATTTGTGTGTATGGAAATAAAAGCTATTAGAAGGATTTTGAGCTTTATTCACTTTTTTTCACACACTGCTATTATTTTGAACACAACTGTACATAAAGGCAGTGTAAACATTTAAAATTCCCGTGGTGTCTCAGACCACTGGCTGGAACGAGGTGACATCACAGAAAGCTCCGTTCAGAGAATAAGAGTAAGCAGCAGTCCACTAATTGTAAATATGCTGTAAAGATCCAGAAGAAGGGGCCAAATTTCATGATTACTTGTTAGGATTTCCTCTGCAGTTAGACATTGAATATCTCTGCATATTTTTATTATATATAATATTACAAAACTTTATCATGTATTTCATGGTTGATTCCGCAGGAATTGTTCATCATTACAATGAATCAGGAATCCACAAAGACAGTACAGGCTGGGAACAATGTGTGAGTGTACCACTAGTTCCACCAGATCAGTACGCTCTGATCCACCAATGGGATTCCTATCTAGAAGAGATCTCATCTGCTGGGAAATGGCTTTCTTACCGGTAAATACACAGATCTCTCTTCAATATTTTACCCTTTCAGTTTGACTCTCAGGCAGGGGCGGACTGACCATTTGGGGCGGACTGACCATTTGGAAACTCGGGCACTGCCCGAGGGCCTGGGGTCGGTAGGGGGCCCCATGAGATGCCCCTGGTACCTTTTTCATAGGCTTTTTTGAGTTTGGGAAAGGACACAGGGGCCCCATGATCCCTATAGCCCGGGGACCCCATGAGTTGTCAGTCCACCCCTGCTCTCAGGGCTACGTGCATGTTCCTTTTGGAGAATAGCATTCTACTTGATACAGAAGAAAGAAAATGCAGTGCTTGGAAGTTGTTTGGAACATTTTCGGATCACTTGGGGGGGTCAAAATATAAAAAGTTTGCTGAGCTCCAATGAAATTTGCTGTATTCTGTGTTATATAACTATCTTGTATGATCGTAAGCGTCATCTAGTGGCCAAAATTTCTTTTTTCCTGATTGAGATGTTTCAAGTGATTGTAAAGGCTGCCCCCGCTCTCTCCTAATTGGCTCACTGGGTGTGATTGACAGTAGCAGGAGCCAATGGCTCCAACTGCCAATTAGGAGGGAGAGACCCAGGACGGCCAAGGCTCTCATGCACATCGCTGAATCAAGAAAGGGCTTGGTTAAGTATTGGAGGGCTGCTGCACACAGCCTTTACAATCATTTTAAAAAACAAATACTGTCTTATGGCCACTAAATGGCGTTTAAGATCATATGAGATAGTTCCTTAACAGTGGTCCCCAAACTGTAGCCTTCAGGCTGGTTTGCCTTTTGTTTACCTTTATCCAGCCCTTGGGGCACTGTTCCTCACACTGACACCAATGATGAGGCACCATTCCTTCCACTGACACCAACAGTGGAGCATAATGGCTCCCAGTGACACCAAAGATGGGGTACTATTCCCAGTGACACCAAAGATGGGGCACTATTCCACTGACACCAATGATGGGGTACTATTCCTTCCATTAATACCAACAATGGGGTTCTATTTCCTCCACTGACACCAAGGACGGGGTGCAATTTCTTCCACTGACACCAATTATGGGGCACTATTTCTCCCACTGGCACCAACAACAGGGCACTATTCTTTCAACCGCCACTAACAGTGAGGCACTAATCTTCCCACTGACACCAACGATGGGACACTTTTCCTCTTCCTACTTACCACACATGTTATGTAATTTAATTACTCCCACTGACCATCAATTTTGAGAGTGTCCAGTGCCCCTTTAGTCTGAGACAGTAAACTGGCTTTTGTTTAGAAAGTTTGGAGACTCCTCTTATATAATACAGAATACGGCAAATTTCATTGGAGTTGTGTGAATGTGTGTCACATTGGATTAGCCAACCTTTCACACATAGACCCATTGGTGTCACTGATAAAAGGTCATGTTACATGTGTCTTGGATAATGAATGGTTTAAAAAGTTGTTGTGTTCTCTTATAGATATGATGAACAAAACCACAACTGTTACACTTTTGCTCTGACATTTATCAATAGCCTGCTGCATCTGCAGGGGATGAAAACTTTCAGCAAAGATGAATTTACAGAAAAATTTGTGTTGCCAAGAACTCGACGAGCCTCAAAATACATCACCCTGTGTCACCAGGTGACCAAGAACGCTTTTTACATCACTGATCAGTTCAGAAACTCCATCCTCGGATGATTTCCATGGATACATGGTATAATAATGACAGAACTATCCTGTTATACAAGCACTGATACTTGGATTTGTTACATATGTTCTCTACATTGTACGGAGATATAAATAATTGATAAACATTCCATCAGGACAGGCTTGCAGAATTAAAGCCAGAACAAATACAAATAGAACACAAATAGATGTGTAAATGCTGTACAAATAGAATTGTATGCCTGGCGACTGAGCTCCTGCAGCTTGTTTTGTACCCCAAAACAGATGGGAACCCTAAACCCAGGTGTAAGACAGAGATACTGGTGGTGAGCCATTCTGTGGTTTTAGTTAAACCAGGACTATGCCTGTATTTTTTCTGAAGGAAGCTATTTGTGATTGTGTGTTTTGAGAGACAAATAAAAACTATTTTCTTTTACAAGAGGCTGGCTAGTGAACCCAGACTCTCTTACCCTCGTAAGGGCCACTGTGTTGTGGGTACCCCTAAGCTTCTCTCTGCACAGCCAGGCAACAGGTATTTCACACAGAGACCTGCTTCCAAAGACAATGACCAGTTCATGGACTTGGTTTTGTTGTTTTATTAGTAGAAATCAACGTGGATAGGGAAATAGGGATTATGGGATGCCGAGTTGGCTTGAATTAATGAAATTGGGTCACTTCCGTCCTATGTATAAAAGCAGATTCTGGACTGTTCTTTTCCTGAAAGTCGTCAGTCGTTGCAGATCAGTAGCAGCTGCCCGTTACGGGCAGGGAACTAGCAGACCCTCAAATATCACTTTACTTCTGGTAGCTACATGCAGATATGTCTTCTCTCCCCTTATAGAGTTGCTCCCAACCATATGGAAGAAAAAAATATTTGAAATATATTTTTAAAATATTCTTCCCAAATATATTGCCATATATTTGAAATGCTACAATTTTGGCCATATTCAATATATTTCAAAATATATTTCAATAATATATATACTGTATATATGCTGCATGTTGAAATGCGTTTTTATTACAAAATATATGAAAAATATTTTTAAAAATACATTTCAAATATACTGTATGTCTTTAAAAATACAAATCTACATGTTTGGAATGCATTTACAAATATATGTAAAATATATGTTAAAATGACTTTTTGATATGTTAAAAAAATCTGAAGATTATATTTAAAAAAATATACTTTAAAAAATGTATTTTTTTAAAATATATTCTTCAGATTTTTTCAACATATAAAAAAAGTAATTTTAACATATATTTTTACATATATTTGTAAATGCATTCCAAACATGTAGATTTGTATTTTTAAAGACATACAGTATATTTGAAATATATTTTTAAAAATACTTATCATATATTTTGTAATAAAAACGCATTTCAACATGCATATATATATATATATATATATATATATATATATATATATATTTATTGAAATATATTGAATATGGCAAAAGTTTTAGCATTTCAAATTTATGGCAATATATTTGGGAGGAATATTTTTAAAATATATTTCAAATTAATTTTTCTTCCATGTGGGGCAGCTCCACAGCCTGCAGGCACTACCAGTCCTCCTGGCTTCTTGGAAGATCTCCTGGGACAAGGATCAAGGATTGAGCTCAGTGCAGTCCTTAGAGAGCTTGCAACATTTGGCAGTCTTTCCCCTTGTAGATCCCAAAGTGGGCTGCTGTACTCACACTTTTCTCCTTGCTCCCTGCTGCTGCAATCCTTGATCCCATTCAAACCTCTCCTCAAAATGTGTCCTCCTGAGCCAGCCCGAGCCCAGCCTAAAGGCTGGCCCCACCAGACCTAGGAGACCCCTCCTAGGCACCGAGAGTCTCCTAAGCACTCCATCTTCCACCTGACTTCCCTGTCAGCCTGACTCCCCCATATTTGTAGGTAAATCCACCACTCTACCAGGTCTTCCAAACCTGGGATTGGCCGGAGCTCCATGAATATGCAGATTAGACCTCTACCCCTTCCTTCTTACCAACTTCCGGAAGGTTTTATAGTCCTCTATAGTCAGAAGGAGGCAATAGAGCCACTACCTGTTGAGTCGTCCAGCTGACCTGCAATAACCCAACCTTAATCACATGACTCACACAACTACCATGAGTTATAGGCAATGATTTTGCCTATAACATACTACACTATTCTGGTAGCACACTAGAGGCTGCTACATCCATATTACAGTATTCTGCCACTTTAGGAACTTCGGGTACTTGGATTATTAGACTCTTATATTGGGAGCATAAATGGCCTTCAGACAGGATCCTTCATTGGTGGTGAGAGCTAAGGGCTCATGTAAACTGCAGCTCCTAAACTGACGTTCAGGAGCTTTTCTGCGTTTTTTTTTTTTCAGCAGCCCCTGAACTCTCCCTAATATTTCCTATGTGTCCATGTACACATCATCTTTTACATGCAGTTGAGTTTAGGTCGTTTTTTTGAACGCACCGAACTTTTGAACGCACCAAACGCACCAAAATGAGGCTTGGAGAGTTGAGAGATAAGAGGTCTAAAGAAGGAGCCTACTGAGCATGCTCCAAAATGTGTTACCGCCCCCCCCCCCTTCACCTCCTACATCCGACTCCGCTTTCCAAGCCTCATTTTGATACACAGACACATCCTAGTTCATACTTCCTGATCCTATAGACTGAGCTGCTGCTGGATGGCTGGATGTCTCACCTGTATCTTAATACACCACAGGACGAGTCTTTTTAACTATTTATCTTGTAAGTGCAATTTATCTATTGTTTACTAATGAATTGTCTATAATGCACTTTGAGGCGCCCTCCTCTCTTTTTCATGTTTGCTGCCTTAGAGCCTTGCTTCCACTCTAAGAAGAGCTGCCTCAGGGTTACTGCTCCCATCCATCCACCCTGATATCCATCTAGCACCTTTGTCTTACAGCTACAGAGGTTGAGATCTAACAAGCGCACCCTATATAATATACATTTTCATTCTCCTCTGACTGTCCTATGAGGCTACATGACCTCTGGCCCTCTATTGTCCATACTGCACTTAGAGGCACCCTCCTCTTTTTCAAGAAGAGAATGAAAACTCCTCCTACAAGATTAACCAGTTCTCGGCCGGACGGACACCGATAGAAGTCACAAGACTGCTATATACTGCTGGGTAGTTAAAAAAAAAGATATTTAATAGTTTATATTTAGTCAAATAATTGCATTTCCATGTTCTGTGCACTGTGGAAGAGAAGATATAGTGAATGCAGGGTCCTGGGTTTAGTAACACTTCAAGTTGAATTCATTTTCCCATTCCCAACTGACTTTGTTGAGCCATGCACATACAAATTAAATGAATGGTCTCTCAAGTTCAACCACAACACAAAAAAGAATCTTAATAGAATATTCACGCTACACTCAATAGAATAAAAACAAATGGATCCAAAGCAAGCAGAAACGCAGTATAGTCCATTTCTCATGATTTCCTATAGGACATGTTCACATCTGTGCGTTTTCACCCGGTGTGTTTTTTGGAAAGGATCACCCTGGGTTCACACTGATGTGGTGCGGAATTTGCACTGGTTTCTGTGCGATTTCCGCACCGCATCATAAACCGCACCCTGCTCACACGAGCCATTGCAGGTGTGTATTTTAAGTTAACGACACCCCGAAATCAGTTTGCAAAATGTGGTGCAATGTGCAGAATCGGATCGCATGGGTGTGAATACCCATGCGATCTGATTCTGGTGCACACTAAAAAAGGGTCCTGCACCTTTTTGGTCCGGATGCAGTGTGATTTAAGCCATACAAAATGTATGGCTCAAATTGCACTGCACAGAATGCGGTGCAGTTCCTATGCGAATCACATGTGATATGCCGCACCGCATCAGTATGAACCCAGGCTCAGGGACTTTTTTGAACGCAAAAAGTTGCGTTTTTGGTTCTATAGACTGCAATGGAAACTCTGCAGAAAAGCAACACAATGCAGAAACGGCTCAAATGCAACCTGCATAGGTGTGAACCTAGCCTCAAGCAGATCTGTTCATTCCTAAATAATTTTTTAAGAGATTAATTACTCGCAATTGTTTTACACAATGCATAGGACAGAGAGTGGTGCAGTGAAAGTAGCCAATGAGGAAATGTAACAGGAGTTGTTGCCATTAGCAGCCAATAACATTCCACCTCTCATTTTATTCAGTAAAGGTTGAAAAAATCAGACTGACAACTCATGGGGCCCGGGCAATAGGGGATCATGGGGCCCCTGTGTCCTTGCCCAAACTCAAAAAAGCCTATGAAAAAGGTACCAGGGGGCATCTCATGGGGCCCCCTACCGACCTCGGGCCCTCGGGCAGTGCCCGAGTTTCCAAATGGTCAGTCTGCCCCTGGTCCAGATGTTTGCTGCTTACTATACTTTCTGTCCAGTTTTTATGTACTAGTGCTTTGTGCATAGAAGCAATTCTCTGGACTGCCAGTAGGTGTCAGCATTACATATGATAAGAATGAGACCTTTCTGTACAGTAGTGGATCAATCAGGTCCTGGAGATGGAGGAACTTCCAAGTCTAGGGTTTCTCTCCATTTCCACACACTCCAGCACTTGCATCTTGGATTCCGCCATCATTTGCAAATGTTCTCACTATGGTATATTAAACCCAAAAGCAAACATTTGTTATATTGCAGCTTATCAATTCTTAGATTTGATGGCTTCATTAGTTTTCTTTTTTAGGCATTCTTTCTTCTTTTTTTCATCTGGTGATCCAGCCAGTGTCTGTTGTTTTTCAAAAGCACAAGCTCTTCAGCAGAATGTTTACGTTTGGATGAGACAAGCCATTTAACACTGCCAGGGGTTAAAATGATCAGCTTTTATTTATGGAAAACCTTTATCCCAAAAAGGAAAAAAAAACTATTTGCTGTAACTGATTAGAAAGTGTTAGCTGGAGCTTGGCTTTGATTTGGTAATGTATTTAAATCTGCTAGTCTATCTTAGGGCTGGTTCACATCAATACAATTTGCTGTTGATCCGCGTTTGCAATGATTTCTGCATTTTGCTTTGTGTTTTAACACAC